CCTCCCCCCCCTCCCTCCGTCGGTACCGACTCACCCGACACCACCAAGCCGCAGGGAGGGACGCCCCCGCCGACAGGAGGATTGGTTCCCGGGCCCGCGGCGATGCCCCCCCGGTAGCTCGGGCCCCTGGTCGGGTGTTTGTGAGTGTTTCTATGTGGGAGAAGGAGGAGGAGGAGGAAGAAGAAGCAGCGATTTGTCTTCTCGGCTGGTCTCCCCCCGGCTCTACATGTTCCCCGCACTGAGGAGACGGAAGAGGAGCCGTAGCCACCCCCCCTCCCGGCCCGGATTATAGTCTCTCGCCACAGCGGCCTCGGCCTCCCCTTGGATTCAGACGCCGATTCGCCCAGGTAAATTCCTACTCTTTATTTCGGCGGCGGCGGCGGCGCCAGGTCCTCAGCGTCTCTCCACCTCGCTCCCCTCCCCGCCGTTTCCTTAGCGGCCCCAGGTCTTCCACGGTCGAGTCTAGAGTTCGCTCCTCTCTGGTGGCAGCCGCCCTGGGTGACGGCGGTTTTGTACCCTCTCCCGGCCGGCTCCGGTGGCGGGGACTGGGCTCCTGCCGGGCGGCCGGGGAGGCGTAGGCCCGGCGGAGAGTGCAGGCCGCGGGCCAGCGGAATCTACTTGAGCTCGGGGATTAGGAGAGCTCCGGGCTGAGCGGAGCGACTGCTGGTCGGTGACAGGCCTCGCCCGGGAGAGGAGCCGTAGCTAGTGAGGAGGCGGAAACAATACAACTAACAGCAAATGTTCCCTGATCGTCCCCATATTTACAACTTTCCCGGTCCGGGAGTGGGGAACGTCCCAGTGAAACAAACAACCCCCCTTCTTCCCCCTGTGACCCCATGAAGGGAGGAAGTAGTTTCAGTTAGTGAGACAAATGTAAATACTCAGACACGGATCCAGTGGTAATTCTTTCTCTTTGTAAAACTTGTTTGGACGTTGGAAAGTTAATAAAGACTCATGTTCTTTTTAAAATAATTAAATCGTCCGCATGAATTTTAATACAGAAAATCATGCTGTGGTAGACACTGCACATCTTCCCCCCAACCCCAAAAAGAGCTTTTATCTTGTTGTTTGACAGTGTATGTGTTGCACATGGACTTTTTATTCAAAGGCAAGTATAAAGTACTTGACAGGTTTACTCTGCCACTTTATACTTGTTTGCGTTATGTAAGGACAATTTTAAACGACTATATATAAAACACTCAGATACTTGCTGACCTAAACATGTACAAGCATACAAAGAATTTAAAATGTCCTGAGAATTGTGCTGAGATACGGGTAAAAACAATTTTCTTTGAAAGGATAGAAATTGAGTTCTACTTAAAGTCCTTGAGAGGTAAAAAATAAAATAAAATAAAAATAAAAATAAAAAAAAGTAGAAGCCGCCATCCTTTTATGTCAGAGCAGATCTTCTTGAGGTCCCAAGATTGTCATTGGCTGTTTGTGCCATGATGTTTGACTGTGTAATGAGAGAGGTGTCATTTTAATAGGTCAAATGTATCTGTAAATGCTGGAGAAAAATGTCAGTTCTAGCTTAACAAGTTCGCGAGTAAGTTAAGTGTTTAGAGCTTGTATATGGAGGCGTTGGTAATGTAGGTTGGTGTAAGGATGAAACACCAACTTAAAAGTCTTCAGTCATACAAATTGCATAGAAAAAGAAATGTACCTAGGTTAGACTATTTTGATACTTTGTTTCCTATTCGCTGAAGGCAAACTTTCATTGGTTAAAATGAAGCAACACTGCTCAACAAAGTCCTTGTTTTACTAGTGGGTGTTACATGGCTTCAATTATTATTATTATTATTATTTGTCTTTTTAAGTTAATGTTGTCACTGTAGTATAAGTAACTTTTCTGGAGGTTATTTTTGAGTTTAGCATTCTGCTTACAAAAAACTGTTTCACATTTCCTGCAGACGTACGGATAAATGTTAAAAAGAGTGAAGTTAATATAGCTGTCACGTACTAGGCATGTTTTTAATGCTATAAATCCGTGTAGTAGTCCGTAGCGTGTCCGTGATTTGTATTGGTCAGGGAGCAGTTTGAATTTTAAAAAGCCTGAAGCTCCTGCTGAGCCCCAATCCCGGCCTCCCTCCCTCCCACTAATCTCCCATTCCTGTCTTTGTGCTGCCTGCTCCTGTTAGACACTGTTTGCTGCGGGGCCTCAGGCCTACAGAGGAGGGTGTGTGTTGCGCGCGGGTGGGGGGAATGCCAAGGAGGGAATGCAGAAGGGAAGGACACTCACATTTTAAGAAAGCAGGGGGGGTTGGTTTTGGGGGGATGGGTTATGTGTCTAAGGGCTTCGTTATAAATGTTCAAAATGCCCTCATATGTTCCTCTAATTGTCTTCACAACTTTTATTTAATTAAAATACTGAGACGTATGTCAAGAGATGAACATATTTCTACAAAAGATAAAAGAAGACTTCTGTTTGCTTAGTTTTCATCAGCAGAAGCAACTTATTTTTAGGGTTTTATACTTAAAGAGAGCCTTACGCAGATGTTTGAATCCATGTGTTAGATATTGGTTTATGTAGTTTTTTCCCCCTTGGGATTTTGGAATTAAATTACAGTGAATTCTTCTTAACTTGTTTTCTCAATTCTATATACTTAGTAATTTATTAGTAGTATAGGTTGTGTGATAACTTTATTAAGGTAGCGTACGTATTTCTTTAAAGTAAGTTTGAAAATATTTTTTATTTGGTCCAAACCAATTAAATTAAGTCATTTTTAAAGGAGAAAACGTTGTGTAAAACTCAAATAAAACCTAAATTTGAACTTTAAATTTTTGATAACTTAGAGCAACAAAAGTTATTCTCTTCAACTAAAGATTATAACTAGTCCTACCTCCTCTGTATTGGTTGGGATATTCATCAGTGGCTAATCTTGTATTACTTTTTTTTGTTGGGGGTTGGGGAGAGTTCAGTGAAAGGAGACGATCATAAGTGTTCCAGTAATCTTATAATTCTAGTTATATTATTTGGAGAAATATTTTCTCATGTACCTAAGTGAAATCTCAACAGTGTGGTTTATTGTTTCTCTTGAGTCTGTAGAGTTACCAATAACTTATATTACTTGAAATGAAAACAGTTTTAAAGTAAATAATGAAAGTCTAGTAAATCAGAGATGAACATTAAATACTTATTTTCAGTATTTAGAAAAGTTTGTTTAGGATGTTTCCTTTTTAAAGCCATTCAACAATTTGTTTACTAAAATTATTTGAGAGCATTTTTGAACCTGTAAGAGGAATCATAATGCTGTCCACCTTTAAGAAGAAAAAGATTATATGTGAAGAAAAACTGTCTATTTGAGATTCTTTTTAGGGATGAAAAATGAAGGTTTTTACTATGCCAGTAAACTTAGTTTGGGTTCTGCATAGTAATCATTATTAAATTTAAAAAGTATTGTACCAATTGAAACATGAATTTTCTTTATTTGGAGCCAGACTACCCAACTCAAACATGTATTTTCTAAGGCTTCCTAAACTACTTACATAATTAATTTTTTGGTACCAGTTCATCATCAAACTGTCGTAGAAGCACTTGAACTCATCTGTGTTAGATTTTTGACATACCCTATTGTGCTATTTTTACTTTCTCAAAATAAGATGCAATAATTAAGAGTAAATTAAAACTAAGAGTTTGAATTTTATATAATTTCATTTAGCTTTCCTTCCTATTGCTTGTTTGGAAAAGCATAATTTGTAACTATTTCTAAGATTTTAAACTCATATGGCATTTCCATTTATATGAAGTGAACAGGAGGTCTGAGGTAAATTAAAATTCCTTTTAGAGAAATGTAACTTTAATTCTGTTTGTCACATTATTTACCATAAAACGATTAGGAAATTACTAGGAAGGAACCTTTATAGAACCATGATACTGAACTGTTTAGTCGAAGATCCTTATTTTAATATCCTGAGCATGCTGAGTTGGCTTTGGTGATATTTTATAGCCTTTAAAAATCATTTAAAAGTGCATTTTTTAAGCAAAAGTTTTCCCCATTTTCAGCACTTGTCATTTATAATAATTCTTTGCATTTCTAAATTGGTTTTTTCTCAAGGTGACCTGAGTCCATTTATAAGTGTTCTCATATTCCTGTGAGAGAAGGGGCCAGTGTGATTTCCATTTTTTGATGAAAAACTTGACACTCAGAGACCAAGTGATTTGTGTCGTTCATGTAGTATCAGTGGAAGAATAAGGGATTCCCTGACACTTAACTAGTTTTGTGTTAGATTGTTGCTTTAAGAAATGTCTGAGCTCTGGTCTTGAAGCTAGGTATTGCTCATTGCTGACGCTGATACCATTTGTGTCTTTTTCAATTATCTAAGTTCGAGGTGTTTTTTTTTCTTTTTTTAGAGAGATCGTACCTATTTCTTGGTTTTATTTTTCTGGTATGAAAATAGCACATTTACCTTAGAAATCCTTACCTTGTGTTTATGTTTGGTGTTTGAATGACTGATTTTCTTTACATACATCCCTACTAAGGAATATAAATGAATTAACTGTATTCATAGTATACAATATGTAATGTCTCCTGAGATGTTTGATTTTTTAATTTTATTTTTAAAAATTACCAGAGAAAGGGCTGGCTGGTTAGTTCAGTTGGTTAGAGTGTGGTGTTATAACACCAAGGTCAAAGGTTCTGATCCCAGTACCAGCTGGCTGCCAAAAAAAAAAAAAAAAAAAACCAACAAAAGGTTACTAGAGTGGAATTTTAGTGTTTCCAGTTGATTTGGAAGCAATTTTAAAAACCATGTCTCTTAACTTAAGGCCATCATTGTAATTTTAAAGGGTATTTTATGTGCTCAGAATTTTTGCCCAAATAAGTTAAATGATAAATTTGATTTTAGATATTTGTCTTGTATACTATTTTGTTTTGATGTAAATCTGGAGTCAATTGTAATGGATTTTGTTACTTTGCATTATGTTTTAGGGCATATTCCTTTCTATTCCCAAAGTGATATTATTAGGAGGGATTATTTCTTGTTGCAGTGTTGCCAACTAAAGTTTTGCCCCATAAGATTTTGAGGGTTTATTATTTGCCAGGTATTGTGCTAAGTATGTCCCCCATATGTTATCTCATTTAGTTCTTCCGAGCTCATGAAGTAGAAACAGTTATTGTCCACATTACAGATGAAGGAACAGGCTGGAAAGATTTAGAAAATTGCCCATGGTCTTATAATTATTAGTAAATGATCAGTCTGATTTACATTGGTTCTTAAGGATTCGGGGTTCTACATTTATAGTTTTTGTAAAATTTTAATATTATCCTTTGATTGATCAGTTGATTCAATACTTACAAGTCATATAGTTAAGGAAGTTGTATACTTCAGGCAAAGAAGCTAGAGTAAG